AATGTAGAAGTTGTTGGATGACAGGTAGGAGACCTGCTGTCCACAGTGAGATATCTGTTTGTCAATAATCCCTCATAATAATCAGAGTTTAGGAGTTGTTTTTTATTTTATTTGTTTTTTTTATACCATTTCCCTATCAGGAAAGCCATTACATAATTTCAGAAACAAACACCCTCCTATCATGGAAAACATGCTGGGAGGGTGGGAAGGCATACAAATTTACATAACTAGAATTATCAGTTATATAGGCAAATTATCTTAGTAGGCCTAAACTAGCAAAACCAAGCCACATTAAAATTGTTTTTAAATTCAGTAGATACATCTTGTAAAAATGAAAGGCACTCAAAATTGTTCTCAGGGCTATAGCTTGGTCCTTCTGGCAGTTGAGGTCAGTAAAGCAAGCTTTATTTGCTTTACCCTGTTCTGGTCGCTGCAGTTGCACAGGTTAAATCAACTAAACAACAAGATATATGACCATTTCGGAACTATATCTCTCGATTTTAGGACAGCAAAACCATGCCTGGTGTTAGTGCACATTTATCACTGACAGAACGCATGGGAGTGAACAATGCAATCTTTTTCTGGTGTGCAGCTTGAACAGGCACAATGCAGAGTAGTTTAGACTGAATAGTAGTTTAGCATTCTAAAAACATGTCACACTATTACATCGCTTGGCAAGATCTTCACAAATATCAGATCAGTGTCAATTTTTGTGCATGTCCTGTTACATTGCATTTGTTATTTTTTTTACCATTGTACTATATTTTTAACTCAATTGTCAGTTTTGAATAACTTAGTTAGTTTTTTTTTCCAAATATAAAAGTTTTGTCTAAGCTAGAGAAAACAGCCAGGAGATTGAAGTACTGTATAATACAAAAACATTCTTAGCAAAATTCACAAAAAATGCATACACACACAGACACCCATTTATATATTTATACTGATCAGCCATAACTTTGTGACCACTGACCGGTTAAAAAAGATCCTTACCCTCAGAATAAATGTTCCTCCAATCCACTCAATAGAACTGTGTTGCACATCACTTACCTAGGCGAATGATGTGCACAGTGCTCACTGTGCCTCCTAGGATATGCACATCACATATCCCAGGAGGCATAGCTCTTCATTCACAAAGGAGGAGGGGGCTGTGCCTAGCGCCGCATCATCGTGAGGTATGCTGGCTTAACCTGGAAGAATCGGTGAGCCTCTCAATGACGTCACATGGCGGGGTGGACCGAGTGGTGGCATAAGACATGAGGATCTCTCTTAAAAAAGAAAAAAAAATGGCGAAGGGGCAAAGATCCCCTTTAAGTGATTATCTCATTACAATGGCATGTGAAATTCTGTGGGATATATTAGGATGAAGTTGATGTGTTGAAAGCTAAAGAAATGGGTATTGCAGTTTTGTTGTGTATGGGGCTACATAGCCACAGACCAGCCAGGGTGCCCATGCTGACCCTTGTCCACAGCCAAAAGTGCCTACAATGGGCATGTAAGCATCAGAACTGGACCAAAGAGCAATAGAAGAAGGTGGCCTGGTCTGATAAATCATGTTTTCTTTTACATCATGTAGATGGCTGGGTGAGTGCATCTCTTATCTGGGGAAGAGATGGCACCAGGAGGCAGTATGGGAAGAAAGCAAGCCAGTGAAGGCAGTGTGATGGTTTGGGTAATGTACTGCTGGGAAATCATGTGCCCTGCCAATCCTGCAGGATTTAAAATATCTGCTACTGAGAGCTTGTTACCAGATACCTCAGCATACCTTCAGAGAGCTAGTGGCATCCATGCCTTGCTGGGTCATGGCTGCTTTGGTGGCAAAAGGGGGACCTAATATATATATATATATATATATATATACATATACATACATCAGAACATACAGAAATAGAAAACATGATGCCTGAACTCGACTAACAAATCCTACACGATTGTTTAATGTGCATGTGAAGCTTTGTGGTCCTAGTTTTTGTCCTGTAGCTGGCAGTATAGCCCAATAGTCTTTGAGTAATATGTCCCTTAAGTGGTATTAAACTCATAAATAGGTATTAAACCCAAATATATATATATATATATATATATATATATATATGTATGTAATATATTGCAGCTTAACAATTCATAAACTTGGTGGCTGCATGTGTTTTCCTTTTTTAGGCTTTATTTTTCTTTATTTTCACCTGGGTGACCCGGTTTGTTATACACTTTCGGTCTTAGGGTGTCTCCACTGTGGATGGAGGAGCAATGGAAACACTTTTGCACAGCAACATTGCTGTCATCTGGGTAGAAGGTGGTGTTATATGTACTAGCAGATTTAGATGGACTTGATCAACAAATTAAATCTGAACTCTAACACTTTTTAAGCAGTTACAGCAACATTTTTTTTTCCTTTTGGGATCAATATTAACATAAATGAAAACTGACCATTGTAAGCATCCCTGTCATTGGTAAATGGTTCATCTCAACCCTCTAACTGCCACTTTGCTGGACAGCCTGGTCTGTTAAAAGAAATTGAAAAATAACACACTTACTGGCAGTATCACCAGGTAAACATAAAGGAAAAAAGATAACTAATGCAGCCATCAAATCTAAGAAATGGTAAGCTGCAATGTATTACATATTACATTTTTTGTTGTTGTTATTTTAATACCGCTTTAATAACCAAGAAAAAAAGGATTACAGTAAAAGTTCTTTTAATGCATTTCAAATACATTTATAACATCTAATCTTTCATTAAGGTCAGCTTTAAGGCCATACACAAACATGAGAAGAGTGTCCCTGAATCCAGTCTATAAAAATTGTATTATGTAATGACAAGGTATATGGACAAAGAGGAAGGAGATATCCCCTGGTCTTTGGTTGCAGGGAATTTAGAAATTTAGTTTTGCTTATCCTAGTCACTATCATGACCTTGAGCTAAAGGCATGTTACTGGAAAAATCTTTTCACAACAAATGCAAATAATATAATGCTTAATAAATGAAATAACACACAACCAAATATAACTCCTTGATTGCTTCTTGTGTTTTTTATGTATGCATTATATCTATCTATTTAACCTCCTCTTGACCGTGCTATAGCCGAATGAGGTCTACAGCATGGTCGTCCAGTTCTGGGAGGATGTTATATGATGCGCCCCCCCAAGCGGCGTGCACCCGACGCTCTATTTGATCGCTGTCTCCTTTGGACACAGCTGATCAGATGATATGGTAAAGGGCCAATCACAGCAGCCTTCTACCATGTGATCAGCTGTGTCCAATTACAGCTGATCACCATGTAAATACACATCCCAGATATTGGCAGTACTTTCCTCACACTGTCACAGCATAAGGAAAGTACTGCCCATAACCGGCAACTGTGAAAGGAGACATCTACAATGATGTCTCCAGATTATCAGTGAAGCCCCAAAAGTGCCCAACAGTGTTGCCCATCGATGCCCAGCAGTGTTGTCGAACAGTGTCCAGCAGTGCTGCCAATCTGTTCCCATCAGTGCTGTTAATCTGTGCCAGTCAGTGCCGCCAGCCAGTGCCATCTATTTGTGTCCTTCAGTGCTGCCTATTAGTGCCCATCAGTGCCAATTATCAGTTCCCATTATTGTCGCCTATCAGTTCCCATCAGTGCCGCATATCAGTGCAGCCTCATGAGTGCCTCCTCATCAATGCCCACCAGTTCCACCTAATCACTGCAGCCTATCAGTTCTCATCAGAGCAGCCTCATCAACATCAGTGAAGGAGGAAAATTACCAGTTTGCAAAATTTTATAATTGATACAAAGTAAAACTTTTTTTTTTTTTTTAATGTTTTTTTTCATTTTTTTAGCAAAAAATTAAAAACACCCAGTGGTGATTAAATACCACCAAAAGAAAGCTCCATTTGTGTGAGTAAACTGATAAAATGTCATACGGGTACAGTGTTTAATGACTGCGCAATTGTCATTCAAAGTGTGATAGCTGAAAGCTGAAAATTGGCCTGGACAGGAGGGAGGTAAAAGTGCCCAGTAGGCAATTGGTTAATGAACAAACCAAGTGTTTGGTTAAGGAGATCAGAGCTCAGGATGAGTTTGCCTAAAGCAAAATGAATAACACACTTTTCATTTTATTAAAATATTTAAATCACTATTTATATACTGTACATTCAGGCTTCTAAGAATAAGTGTATCATATTTGAAATCCAAAGCTTTATTTTCAGTATATTTCCTTACTTATAATGTTGATTTTTCTAAACTTCCTTGAATTTAAAATTTTGGGAGATATATACCACAAAATCATGTTGCATTTGTGAAAGCTCTGCATCTAATTTCATTTAGTGATTAGAGAATATAATATAGTGGCATTCAAACAGCAATACATTCACATAGAATTTCCTCCTCCACAAAGTATAGTTAGCTCAGAGAATGCATTGTCTCTTTCTATGTTTGAGAAAAGCCAGCTACAGGAGGCTTATACTATGAGTCATACATCAACCCAAATAAAATGCCTATAAAAAGGTTAGCAACTCTACACAAATTGCCGCTCTTGGAAAATTGAAAGTGCAAGGTCAATTATAATATGCCTGTATGTACTGTATTTTTTTATACAGAGAAACAATTTTGGGTGGTGGGGTCTAATATATGCGTATATATTTGCATTCAATAAGTAATTGTTATTTTGTCTTTATTTACAGATCTGTATGTTACAAAATCTACTACCAATCAGATATGGGAATTTAATGCTACTGAGTAAACTACTTCATCAATGGCCACCTCCGGAATCTATATTAACACAGTGGCTTTTTGATGTACATCAAGACAAGGGTGACCTTCAATCTAACAGTATGTGGGGATCTTCTAAAAAATGACACTGAATGTCTTTCCCTGAAAAGGAATACTACACATTTGTGCTGATAATTGGATTAAACACAAGCAAAGTTCTCATGAAGTGACCACTTTGTTATAAATATATAACAGAGAACGATAAACTGCTGATTCAGCACAACAAGACCATTATTAGGAACCGAAGAAAAGAAAATGAGAGAAATAAAACTTAGAATAAACCTACTACTTGGACTTATTTTTGCTGCAGTTGCGCACTCTACTCAGAAAAAACTTGATTGCCCACAACTGTGCACATGTGAAGTTCGACCATGGTTTACGCCAAAATCCATTTACATTGAAGCCCTTACAGTGGATTGCAATGCATTAAATCTTAACAGCATCCCAGAGAGGTTACCTGCAAATACACAGATCTTACTTTTACAAGCAAACAACATTGAAGAAGTTAAGGATGCAGATCATTTTCCAGTAAATCTTACAGGGCTGGATTTATCCCAGAACAATCTGTCCTCCATGATCAATATCAATTTCACAAATGCCCATCAGATACTTTCTGTGTACCTTGAAGAAAATAAGTTAGTAGAACTGACTGAGGATTGCTTTTCTGGGCTGCAAAATTTACAAGAGCTCTACATTAACCATAATCTAATATCCACAATTTCACCAAATGCATTTGTTGGGGTGGGCAATTTACTCAGACTACACCTTAATTCAAATAGATTGCAGGTGGTTCAGAGACAATGGTTTGAAGCTATGCCACGTCTAGAGATCCTTATGATTGGTGAAAATCCAATAGTCAAAATGGAAGATTTGAACTTTAAGCCTCTTATCAATTTGCGCAGCTTGGTTTTAGCAGGAATAAATCTCACAGAAATTCCTGATAATGTTTTTACAGGTCTTGAAAATTTGGAAAGCATTTCTTTTTATGACAACAGATTTATTAATGTCCCCTCAATTGCTCTTCAGAAGGTTCTGAATCTTAAATTTTTGGATCTGAATAAAAATCCCATTAGGAGGATACAAAGGGGAGATTTTAGCAATATGTTACACTTGAAGGAGCTAGGCATTAATAACATGCCTGATCTAGTTTCAATAGATAGTCTAGCCATTGAGAACTTGCCTGAACTCAGAAAAATAGAGGCAACGAATAATCCCAAATTAGCATACATTCACCCCAATGCTTTCTACAGACTCCCTAAGCTGGAAACCCTTATGCTCAACAGCAATTCCCTTAGTGCCCTTTATCAGAGTACTATAGAAGCCTTGCCTAACCTTAAGGAAATAAGCATACACAGCAACCCTATCAGATGTGACTGTGTAAATCGCTGGATAAACATGAATAAAACCAATATACGATTTATGGAAACTGATTCCTTATTTTGTGTTGATCCTCCTGAATTCCATGGACAAAACGTCAGGTATATACATTTTAGGGAAATGATGGAAATATGTTTACCATTAATTGCTCCTCAAAGCTTTCCATCAGATTTGGATATGAAGACTGGTAGTTCAGTGTCACTACACTGTAGAGCAACAGCAGAACCTGAGCCAGAAATTTACTGGATTACACCTTCAGGCTCTAAACTTCAACCAAATACTGTTTCTGGGCAATTTTATGTTAATTCTGAAGGTACCTTGGAAATTAATAATATAAGCATCCTAGAAGCTGGACTATATACATGTGTAGCTAAAAACCTAGTTGGTGCGGATTTAAAAACAATTATTGTCACGGTGGACGGTTCTTTGCCAGAAGAGGTCAATGAATCTATCAATATCGATATTAAGGAAGTTCAGACCAATTCTATCATGGTTTCTTGGAAATCAACATCAAAGATTTTTAAATCCAGTGTACAGTGGACTGCCTTCATGAATGCACAATCCACCAAAATTGCACAGAACGTTCGGATGCCATCAGATATAAAACAATACAATTTAACACGCCTCAGTCCACTCACAGAGTACACCATTTGCATTGATGTACCAACTATCTATGAACAAATTGAAAAGCAGTGCATAAATGTCACCACTAAAGGACCAGACACCATGTCTAAACATAATGAAACCTTTAATTCTTCTGCAATGATTATCATCTTGGGAGGTCTGTTTGGAATCATTAGTGTTTCATACTTTTTCAACTATATATCTTTACATTTGAGAGGAAACACTGATCAAAAATATTCCAGGAATCTTCTACAGACACCAACATTTGCTTATAATGACCTATATCCTCCTTTGTTGAGTCTTTGGAATGTCGGCAAAGAAAGCACAACTCTTGAGGTCAAATCTACAGTTATACAAGTACCAAGTCTCATCCCATAAAAACCACTGATTTGGGAGCTTAACCTATGGAATACAAACAAGCACAAGGTTTTAGCTGTGCTATTGAATGACAGAAAGTACTATTTTCTAGAAGTAAAAAAAGACATAACTATGTCACTGTTGCCTAAAAAAGTATCACTGGTAAATGGCTTACTATTTATTTTAAGCCAAACAAGCAAATGCTTCACTGAGACTAAAATATATCTATAAACAAAGCTGAGAACTATGACTTTTTTGTTAAATACAAAATAAAAATATAGCTTATGTTTTATGTATTTGTTTTCTACATTATACTGTAGTCGAACTGAGCAATACCTCCTTCTGTGATGTATTACACATTTTAGCCAAGAGTTTTGAAGTGACAAAATAAAATAGAATTGGCACGTGGTGTAATGAAAATGGCATTTCTGTAGTGTAGTAGCTAGAGACAGTAAATATGTAAATCTTTTTTATGGAAAAAAATACATTTTTTGATTAATAAAACTTACTTGTACCATGGATTTTTTGTTATGTGATAAGGACACATGCTAAAAGTACATTGAATAGAAAACAAGATAATCATGCTGAAAAGCCATAAACATTTGTGCAGTGTACACATTATCCATGGATTTACTAAAATACCACAATATAATCTTGTACAAAGTATGCACAGAGCATTGAGAAATACCACTAAGCTAGTACAGGGGGCTTTTATTGAAAATTCAGTGTTAGACTTTGGACTCAGTGGCTAACTTTATATGAAGGATTTCTGTGTAGTGTGACAGTATTTATATAAAACTAGATCATATTCTCAGTGAATACACATTGAGTTATTGTAATGTTAACCAGAAAGTTACCTTTACGAGATTCACATTACTGGTTTGTGATTTCAAATTTATATGGTCATGTTAGCTGTATGTACTGTATGTCAATCAGGTCCACTTATGTCAAGCAGGTTACTTAAGATGGAATTCTATTGGATAAATTACCAATTGCCAACCAATTACCAAAGGTGGCCACAATCTCATTGAAATTCAACCGGTCCCTGCTGAACTGGCCAAATTTCAATCACTGTGTGGCTGTCCCCACTGGTCAGAGGGTTATGCTGAAAAATGTTTGTCATTCATAGGCTGCATCCACTCCTGCTGTCAGATTACAATATCCTGGCAGGATGGGGTTCCTCCACCCACCTTATTTGTGCATTAGATTATATATAGATTATAGAGACTATCATAGCTGATTCACTAAAGGAGCTCAAAATCTTCACTCAAAGAGTGATGGGAATATTTACTACATCTAGTAATTACCATCTAGTGAATCACGTGCAGATGAAATAAGTAAACAGGATTTTTCCACGATTGGAAAATTAAAGTTATCACATAATCTTACAAGTAAAAATAAAATCTCAACTCATTTAGTAAATCAACCCTAGTACATTCCCCTTTAATATACACTAACCAGTATGTTTACATTTTAAATATGTTTCAAATATGTTTGATCCCATACTAGGTTAACTTAGACCTACAATTTCAGTATGCACGCAGGGCAGTATGGTAGTTCTTAGTGAACAGATAGCTTTCTGTAACAGCTACAATACAGGTAAGATTTAAAAGCAAGGTCTTTTAAAAAATTGCTGTAAGTTGAATCTGTCCTCGTGCATAATATAAAATTGCAAAAAAAAAAAAAGTGCCATACTTTTTTATAAACACAACACATTTTTTTATGTGGATAGTTATACCTTTGTATATCAGAACAATAGGATTGTATAGGTGAAAAAAAATGCAGAGCACTTTTGTCATGGATGTGGCAGATGTGCAGATCGCAGAACTTATGCATAGAGCCCCAGGAGATATAAGATATTACTACAATGTTTATCTCTCCAGTATGGATGAGTGAGACGATTTTGAATTTAGTTGAAATTAGCTTCAAATTTCACCATGCAAACTACTTAAGCAGAATTTGCATTAAAAAAATAAAATGCATGTGATCACTCAGTGTCGATATGGTGATCATTGGCTTTGTTGATAAAGAGATCACTAACTGCTACAATGTTATTTCTATCTAGCAGCATTTCTATCTAGTGTACACTTAGAAAGTAATTATTTTCCTAAAGACAGCACCCAGTTAAGGGAAAAGTATAACAAAGTATTCTTGTCCTTCACTTTTCTGTATATGTATTTGAAAGGCCATGGTTCCATAATATTTAACGTCATGTTGCTAGCTAACAAGGGACCATTTCTTGGCACAAAAGCAGATTTAGGATAGCTCACTGGAACTTCTGAAGTCCTCAGGCACCATTTAAATCCCATTGTAAAACAGGAAATGTACATCTTTTAAAAGAGAGAGGAATTGTAATCTTTGAGAGGTTTCACTGTAAAAGACATCTACAATGTAATATTTACCCTAAATTCTTGTTCTGGCAACAACTGTGAAATGCTTGGTTTTCCCTTACCTTTCTGTGTCAATGACAAGGACAAGCAGACAGCAGTAAAATGTTAACAAGGGTTCTACTCCTTCCCATATAGTATCATAGCTATTTTACAATTTGAGTATTGGTCCACTTTAAAGAACTAGACTATTCATATGAACATTCATTATATTGAACAACATATACACAACACATACTGATATCAGAATGTGCTGTTAATACAGTATAAATTCATAACCCATCATTCTATAAACAATTTATACTATTTATGTTCCTCAACTAAACACTGTGCAGTAGTCTTGACATTAACATTTAAAATGAACAGCAAATAGATATATATTTTGCAGGTTACATTTTGGAATTTAGTGAGGTGAAGTCAGAATTTAGTAAAGTGAAGTCAGGAAAATTCAGATTATATTTTATGCCCCCATAATTTATTATAAAAATATAATTAAACAAAAACTCATAAAAATCTACACAACAAAATTGCTAGCATATATTTTTTTAAAGGTTTATGCTGGCTGTACTGTGTAAATAAAAGTTCCATTTTCACAGAGGCTGAACTGCTAATTAAAAGCCGCAATGTAGACTGATGATAATAGCAGAATATTTCTACATGCTACATTTTACCCCTATGGAGAACATTTTTAAAATTAGATATTGAGTTAACAGTAAGAATTAACAACATCCATTTATCTTCACAAGGAACCAGGCTACATCATGAACACTAATGCCTTCTTACCATTATTGCCCATTCATAATAGTTATACCTCTTTTCTACTTAACTAAGCTAGAATTGCCTGTGACCTAGAAAGAATTCTTTATGCTGTCCTTAATAGCATGTTTTAAGCTTTTTACTTAGTTTGAGAAAGAAAATATGGTTTTAACTGTAATCTTATAGAAGCATACCATTATGACACATCAGGCTTGTAAAACAAAAAAAAAAAAGTTTGAGGAAAAATTAAAAAAATAACACACCTTTAGTTATACAATTGTGAAACTATCTCACATTTACAGTATAATTGGTATTGATTGTGTCAGCTCAATTATTTATTTTGGGTACTTATACTGCGCCATCAATTTACGCAGTGCTATACATATACATTGTACATTCACATCAGTCCCTGCTCTCAAGGAGCGCCAATCTAAGGTCCCTAACTCACATTCAAACATAATAGGGTCAAATTAGACAGGAGCCAACTAACCTATGAGAATGTCTTTGGAGTGTGGGAGGAAACCAGATTTCCCAGAGGAAATTCATGAAGCTACAGGGAGAACATTCAAACTCTATGCAGGTAGTGCTGCAATTGGGATTCAAACAGATGACCCTAGTGCTGCTAGGCAGAAGTGCTACCCACTTAGCCACTGCGATGCTTTTTGAATACACAAGACTTTCTTTCCAGGAAAAAAAGACATCAGTTGCTGGTAAACACTTTTACCCCTCACCTACGGTGATAGTTCATAGAGGATCAAACTCTTTTTTGCAGGGTTTATTGGTCTTTTGGATCTTTATGTTGGTGCCATGGGTGGATACAGTCACCCTTTTAGAGTGCAGCTGCATTTCCCAACCAAGTAGAGCAGAAACTCCTCAATGCAGATACCTAGATTTTAAGATAAGCACACCCACCAATTATTAACTCTTGTAAAGGTAATCTGTACTTTAGGCACTGTCTTTTTAAAAGGCAAACTGAAATTATTTCAGGTAGTGCAATGTGGAGAAAGCATGATAAATGAATCCTACTTCATTTTCATGACCCTTACTACTATAAACCTCTCTAGATAATGGAGAAACAGTAAAATGTTTGCACAAACCTTTCTGGCCACAGTAGACATGAATGTGGATTATAGAAGACACAGTCCCAAGCATCAAAGGGTAGCATAAATGTGCTTTAGGCTATTTGCTCTTCCGAATGAGTATTCTTTTATTATGGGCAGTAGTGACATATTGCATTAAGTCCACTAGATGGAGCTAAGGGGCATAGGAAATACATACATACTTGTAATAAGAGAAACATTGCAACAATTCTAGAGAAAGCTGGAGGTAATTATCAAATGTAACCATTGTTCCAGTGGAACATCCTTTTTTTGGCTAAAGCAGAGACCGGTCAAAATTCAAACCATCTATGGGCAGGATGATTGTGTCCAGGTTGATCCATCTATAATCTTAGGCAGGGGTCTCCAAACTTTTCAAACAAAGGGCCAGTATACTGTCCTTCAGACTTCAGGAGGGCTGGATTAGGGCCAGTGAGGACAGAAAATGTCCTGGCCCCAGCATCAGTGAGAATAGACATGGCCTCACGGTTGGTCAGTAGGAGGAGTAGTGCTCCACTATTGGTATTAGTGGGAAGAATAGTACACCATCATTGGTTTCATGGGAAGAAGTACTGCCCCAATGTTGATCTTAGTTGGAGGAATAGTGTCCCAAGGGCTGGATAAAGGGGAGCAAAGGGCCACATCTGGCCCTCGGGTTGCAGTTTGGAGACCCCCTGATCTTAGGTACAACCAACATGTCGGATATTTACATGTGATTATTGCCAGTGGCTATGTTGGTGGGGGAATTGATGGTGGGGGAATTGACCGATTTTCTTTCTTG